TTGACATCCTCTGGGATGCTTAGACTCTTTTGTGATTGCTTAACTGAGATTTACTCTACAAATCCCACTGGAAGTGAATCATCTTTGGGAACTGCAATGGCAGTCTGGTAGCAGACCTGATGAAGTCTTATCTAAAGGCCCTGAGAGGGAGTGACTTCTTTTCTGCAGACATTTCCTCCAGAATAAGATGTGTTGGGTTTACTCCTATTTGGAATTGATGGAATGCAAATAAGAAAGAAACTTGATAAGCCTGAGATTACTCAAGGATTCTTTGGCAATAATTGGTGACTGTTTACTATGTAGAGCCATTCTAGTGTCTCTAAATATATATTCAGGAAGAGCCTCCAAAGCTGTGCAGTTCTCCAGTCAGGCCTCAGTGAGGCCATACAGAATAAGGACCAAGTAAGATCCCTCTGGATGATAGAACCTGGGATCATGTAATTGGATAACCAAGGGAATTATTGCACTGACAACGCAATAATTCTAATTCTGCTTAACATGACTTGATATGTATTTGAGATCAGTAATTTAGGCTTGCTTCCACTTTTCTCCTTTCTTAAATGGTCATTTTCTCATAAACACTTGTATCCTGTTGCTTCTGTGTCATTCTTTAGTGTGAGAATTCAAGAGAGATAACTTCTCTTTTAAAGGTATGGATAGCTGAACTATGAGGAGGAGCCATGGGCCTGTTGGAGACAATGGCATCACCAAATGTGATCACAAAATAACCGTTTGAGGTGGGCTCCTTTTGGGAAAGAATTAATGCATACCACCAAAAATGTATGTATGCATGCCACCTGTAATAATGTCCTGGATGCTGAAAAGCCAAGAGGATGGACTGTTCTTAATTTTCTCTACTGCAGAGGCAAAGAAGTTAAAAATATTCATCATCTCAGATTCTTTTACAAGAAAGAGGAAAATCATGTGACTCAGTTTTGGCTTTCGAGTTGTAAGCACAGGTTGCTAAGTTGAGGTTCTTGAAAAGGCTTTGAAAGGACAAAATCAGCCATACTGCTACTTTATCTATTTGCTTTTTTCTCTTTTTCCTGGATTAACTGTGGATATGAGAGCTAGAACTTTAGAAGCCATCTTATAAATGTATGACATAAAAGCCAGAGAAAAAAGATGGCAGAGCTGCCTTGATCCTTGATGGCACCCCAAAGAACTGCCCTCCACTGTCTATGGCCTTCTTCCTACATGAGTAAAATAAACATCTGTAAGTTAACTTATTGTTAGCAGGGATTTCGTCACTTTTTTTCATGCTTACAGAGACACATATTCCTTGGCCAATAAGTGTTTTCTCTATATCCTGAAGTTGGCAAGAACAGTAACAGTCAAAATTTTTAATCTAGAGCTGTAGCAATTCAGGAGGCAGAATGTTAAACACTCAGAAAAAAATTTTTTTATTCAATCTTCATTCTCTAATATTTAGTACACTACCTAGACAGAATAGGCAATAAAAATGTTTGCTGACTGATGCTATTATTATATATTTTAAAGAAACTAATTTGGAATAACACAAACTTCAAACACATATTAAGATTTATAGAAGGTTTAGTAGCAAATCTGAATTTAATGTATATCAATATTGAATAACATTTATTGAATTCTGACTATCATCTAGGCTCTATACTAAATACTTAATGTATTTTCTAAAATTCTCACAGCAATTCTATAACCTAAGAGTTATTATTAGAGAAGTTCGGAGATATTCAAATAACTTAGCCAAGGTCACATAGCCAGGTGGTACCAGAGCCAGGATTCAAGGCCAAGCTTACTTCCCTCCAAATCTATGCTCATAACCACTATGTGTTACTAAAATATTCTGAATCTGATTTCCTAAAAGGAACATGTCTTTTGATACCAAAAAAAACCAAAAACCCTTTGTGGCAGAACAGTAAGTATACAGAAAAATGTTCATCTGCATTAGTGGTTATTCATTATTAATCAATTACTACTTCCTGGAAGATTTGCTACTGGTTGACAGATCAGTTGGATTTTCCATATGCACACATTGGAATAAGCTAGCTAAATAAAGCAACTCGCATGGAGAGTTTTATGTTAGCTGAAGGTTACTGTTGGGAAAATAGATTATTAGTAATATTTTTATTTTAAAATCCTGGAGTCATTAAAATGTGACACCACAACCTGCATAGTAGGATATTGATAAGAACAAGGATGCAGGAGGTGATTCAGTAGATACTTAAATGGCAAAAAATATAGTGCAAGTTTCACACACCCTGCAGACTGCAGGTTTATATGATAATAAATAATAGTTATCACCAGGACAAAAGGGGAAAGTGCCATGAAATCCAATAGCTCAGTGAGAAATCTGCTAATACAGGTGGTCAAGCTTATCCCATTTCATTGTCAAAGGGAACCTATTTATTTTCTTACAGATAGTTAAATTACAGAGTCATTTGTTGCTGAAAGTTTTCCAGTAGGCAAATATGAATCTAAAGCTAAGAGTATAAGAATTAACTTCACAGGCAGCAGAATTGATAAGATAAAATCTTTGAACAAATTACAAAAATAGAAGTGACTTTAAACATTCCAATTGGAAGCTCTTTACTTTATACAGTGGGCATGAGCCAACAGCCAAAATACTGGCTAGGAAAAATCATCATTTTAGAAGTTCTTTAAAACATTTTCCCAAGTGAGGAGAAACAGCAGGGAGAAGGGGGATTGGGGAGGGATAGCACTAGGAGAAATACCGAATGTAGATGACTGGGCGATGGATACAGCAAACCACTAATATGGCACATGTATACCTATGTAACAAACCTGCACGATCTGCACAGATACCCCAGAACTTAAAGTATAACAAATATAAAAAAATTTTCCCCAAATCAAATGCCTTCTCACTAGGGAAGATGCCAATGATTAGAGAGAGAGAATGAAAGAGAGAGGGTGTGGGTGGGTGGGTAAGAGAGAGAGAAAGAGAGAGACTCCTGTGCATTAGAATGCTGGGAAACTGAGGGAGACTATTCGTATTGGTTCCTCAGTAGTTATAAAATCAATGTCAACTTCTTTTCGTGTTGTACAAGATGGCAGTGGTTTTTATCTAACAACTGACTATACATTTCTGAGGATATTTCAAATGGTGGAGATTGTGCATGCTGTTTTTATTACTTCTAAAGTGCTACAATCTGGTAACTTCCAGATTTGGGAATTTACCAATGGAGTAAATCAAAGATATTCCAATAACAACTTTTTCCTTAAGCATTTTTATATTCCTTTTCTTGTAAGCAGGTTTTGCTTTCAGTCCAAATTCAAGTTATTTATTTCATATATTCCTAACAGCTACATTTCATCATTTGTTTTCTGGGTATAGGAAGTCACTATTTAAGTTGCCATTGATTCCTTCCCAAGTAACCTTTTAACCAAAACATGTATATATTTTCCTTATTAATTAAAAATACTAACTTCATCAATCTTAGTTCATGAAAAATTCCAAGGCTTCCAGGCATAATCTTGATGAAGAATACATTACATAGCTGAAAGAATTCAAATGTATACTGCCTTGAACAACTATTCATGTGTCATAAAGGACAATGAGTTCACCACAGTAATCTATATGGGAAGTGGCTCGCAACAGAAGGTTAACAGATACAGTCTCCATCATCTTACTAGAAGACAATTGAAGATGAAGAAACGAAATAGCTTACCTCTAGTTATTTGAGGTCAAGATTGGAAAATGTTATTAAATAATGTTAGCAATCTCAACAAAATCCAAATAACTGAAAATTAGACTACCTAATCATTTTATCACTCAACTCTTATGAGGATAGTTAAGCTTAAGTGCATATATGAATACAGCATGAATACATTACAACACGTTCAAGGTCTGTTGGCCATTCCACCTAAAATTTACAGAATCTGGAGATAAGCAAGTTCACTAGTATCAATCAGAAAGAATATTTAAAGACTTAGGTTGCAGGTGAACAAATTCAAAATGATCATCATTTTAAAGCAGACATCTAACAAGCATCAATGTTATAAACAATTGTTGTGACTTTTTATCTAGAAGAAATTATATATACACAGGATGTGCAAAGATAGTACAGAGAGACCTTATGTACCCTTCATCAAGTTTCTACAAACATTACATTTTATATAATTATATGATATCAAAACCAGGAAACTGACATTGGTGTAATATGTGTATATAGTTCTATATTACTTTATCAGGTATAGATTCCTATAACCACCACTGCAATTAGGATATAAAAGTATTGTCAATAATTTAACTTATTTTCTCAGATATCAAAATATATTACAATTTCAGGTAGAAGGTTCTAGAATACTTATTCTATTTAACAATACATAAATTACTGAAAACTATTAATATCTAAAATTATTATCTTAGAAAACTCTATGTATAAAGGCCAAAGTGAAATTCTAGCAATACAGAGAAGGTACACTTCAGTTAAACTCATTCTCCTGCACAGATCAAACAACCCATCATTCAACAATCAGCTCTGCCCAGCTAAGAGAACACAACACATTTTTTAGCACGCAGTTTGCCAAAGACAATTTGCTGATAATTCTACTATTTCCAAAACTGTTTACCAGTAGAAATCCCAAACACCAAACACACATACACACATACACGCGCGCGCACACACACACACACACACACACACAGGCACGCCCCACCTTTCTCAAGCAGAACAGAGCAGTTCCCAAATGTCCTTAAATCTCTAATGAGATTACCATAATAAAATATACAATAATAAATATACTTAAAGAAACAATGAAATACGTCAGCCAGATTCTCCTAAGCCAAGCTGAATGTGGAGTTTATTTTCCCCAACAAGAAAATATAAACCAAATTGTTGCAACCTCCATCTCTGAGTGAGCTCAGAGCAAAGGAGAAATATTTAATCTCTCCTTCTTCCATCCTCCTCTCTCTCTCTCTCTCTCTCTCCCTCCCTCCCTCCTCACACACACACACACACACACACACACATACACACATCCCTAAACATCAATCTTACCTTAGCCATCTGTGCCTGCACGCCATTTGCCTTGAGAGATGCTACCGCTTTCTGTGCGGCTGCAGGACTGTCAAAATCTACAAAACCATAACCTGTGAAAACATAAAAAACCCTAGTTAGTATTTACAAAAAGCTAAATGTCTATCCTCACTGTTGAAGTGCAAGTTTACAGAGTTGCATTCATTTCTTCTGACACGTAAGCCTGGTTGATCATTAGGCTCTTAGACTGGTAGTCCTTAATGCTTTGGGAGAGAGAATGTAATATCTCTAGATATAAAAGAGTAACTCTTACTTTCTAGGCATTGCTTTGGCGATAGAGTATACAATCCGTAACCTGATTTAAACTAATTTGGTGAGCAAGATAATAGACTATTTAACTCTGTTCTTTCTTCAATGGCAAAATGAGATGCATAAAACCATGGAAAATATAGAATATTCTCTCCCGAGAGTTAATTTTCAAAACCTCAAATATTGATGTTAACAAAAACCATGGTAAGAACATGCAAAACGTTATCATCAGCAACTGCAATAGTGCTTAGCACACAGTAGGTATTCAATAAATATATGTTGACTTCATGAATAAGAACAAGCTGTGAATGAGTTAGGGTTTAAACCCAGTTCCAGTTGATTACTATGACCATGCTCCTCCATTATCTTGTCTCTCTCTATGATAACATCTTAAATTATTTTGACTCTTAAGGGATCTGTGAAAAAGAATGACTAAATGCATAAATATTCATGCTTCTTTTAAAAATAAGAAATACACACCCATGTTGCTTATTTGTTTCTAGTGTACAGTCTGAAAAGGGTATACAAGTTTGCGATGCTATTCTGATTGTGTGCTTGTGTGGATATGCATACATGGTGAGAGCAAATAAATAGTAAAATAGGCAATGAAAAGGCCATTTTGCATGCCCTTATGCTAGCTAATAGTCCAAGGCTTAGCCTAACATCAATGTCAACTGCCAAGAATGTTTTGAAATATAAATGCTCAAGGGTGAGTATAAGGGCAGCTTTGTTTGGCATGCTTAAAAAGCTCACCAAATGTATCCTATACTTCTCAGCTGTTGGGTTAGGAATCATCGGTATTCTTCTACTTGTCGCATTTAGAAGTTTTGAGGTGAGCCACTGAAGCAAACCTACTTACCATGTACTGTGACACCTCCTCCCACCCCAAAATAACCAAAGAAGAGTGCAAGGGAATTCAATTACCAAGTTGTTTCTTTTAATTAACTTCTTAATTTTTTCCCCTCGAATCTCATCTTCTTTTTCTCCCTCCCAGCATGTTATCCTAAAATGAACTTGTTACACAGCAGTGTACCATAGAATGCTCTTGAAGAGCTGGGCAGAGAAGCTGTGAAGTTTGTATTTCTAATCCAAAAGGAAGCCTGCTCTGTAAGTACTGCTAATTCTTCTCTTCCTACAAAATCAAACTAAGTGGGTAATATAAGTATTACCACCCACCAAGATGAGTAAGATAGAAAAAAAAAAGTAGAAAGTATTACTCAAGAAATAGGGTCCAGGGGAGAAGAAAGCAAAACTATAATCTCACGTGCAGGTTGCTGTGCTGGGTAGTTGACACATTGGTACTTGGTGAAGTCATAATAACATCATGTACTACTACTGGCTTCATGCCCACTATACACATGAAGAAGAAACTGAAGCGCAGGTAAGCTGATCCAATGGAATTAGAATCACAAGCCACTCAATGAGCAAATCCAGGATCTGAAGTCAAGTCTGCATGTGTCCTTTCAAGTACACCATACCATGAACTGCTTTATATTCCCACACTATAAACTATTTCTGCTAGCCTCTGAAGCCCACCAGAGGAAGAACTCAGTCTTGAAAATTCCTTGTCTATGGAAGAGAGATCCAAGATGGTTGACCGTTAGCAGTTTGGGACTGTGGCTCCCAGTGAAAGCACAGAAAACGAGAGGACGCCACACTTTTAGACGTATTTTTGTTGCTCACGGACCAGAAGATTCCCAGCAGAGAAGCCCCACGGGTCGCCACTGCGGATCTTGTGGCTGGCGGGTGCCGGTGCCGGTGCCGTGGGGCTGCGGTACTTGGTGCAGAGTAAACGGGACTGGTTCCCCTTTTGGCCGATGTTTGGAGCTCCGTGAAGGCAGAGTTGCCTATTAAGGAAGACAGACTGGAGATTCCTGGGCAGAAAAGCACCATCAATCTTAACGCAGCTGTTTTAGCTGGTGCAGTGGGTTGCTCAGATTCCAGCTCTGGGAATCAATAAATTGGAAGCCCACTCAGAAACCTAATTAGAAAGGCGGTAATTACAAACACGACAGATGGATAAATTTATAACAAAGGGAAGAAACCAGCCTAAAAAGGCTGAGAACACCCGGAATCAGAATGCCTCTCCCTCTAGGGGGGTTCACTCTTCCTCATCAGCAATGGAACAAGGGCTGATGGAGAATGACTGTGTTCCATTAACAGAAATAAGCTTCAAAAGGTGGATGATGCGAAACTTCTGGGAGTTAAAAGAACTTGTTCTAACCCAATGCAAAGAAACTAAGAACTTTAAAAAAGGTTTGATGAAATGCTAACAAGAATAGACAATATAGAGAGGAATGTAAGTGAATTAATGGAGTTGAAAAACACAACACGAGAACTTCGCGAAGTATGCACAAGTTTTAACAGCTGAATTGATCAAGCAGAAGAAAGTATATCAGAGATCAAAGACCAACTTAATCAAATAAAATGAGAAGATAAGAATAGAGAAAAAAGGGCCAGGCGCGGTGGCTCAAGCCTGTAATCCCAGCACTTTGGGAGGCTGAGGCAGGTGGATCACGAGGTCAACAAATTGAGACCATCCTGGTCAACACGGTGAAACTCCGTCTCTACTAAAAATACAAAAAATTAGCTGGGCATGGTGGCGTGTGCCTGTAATCCCAGCTACTCAGGAGGCTGAGGCAGGAGAATTGCCTGAACCCAGGAGGCGGAGGTTGCAGTGCCTCGAGATTGGGCCATTGCACTCCAGCCTGGGTAACAAGAGCAAAACTCCATCTCAGAAAAATAAAAATAAAAAAAGGATAAAAAGGAATGAGCAAAGTCTCCAAGAAATGTGGGACTATGTGAAAAGACCTAATCTACGTTTGATAGGTGTACTTGAATGCGACGAAGAGAATGAATCCAAGCTGGAAAATACTCTTCAGGATATTATTCAGGAAAATTTTCCCAACCTAGCAAGGCAGGACAACATTCAACCCCAGGTAATAGAGAGAACACCACAAAGATATTCCTCAAGAAGAGCAACCCCAAGGCACATAATCGTTAGATTCACCAGGGTTGAAATGAAGGAGAAAATACTAAGGGTAGCCAGAGAGAAAGGTCAGGTTACCCACAAATGGAAGCCTATCAGACTCATAGCAGATCTCTCAGCAGAAACCCTATAAGCCAGAAGAGAGTGGGGAGCAATATTTAACATCCTTAAAGAAAAGAACTTTCAGCCCAGGATTTCATATCCAGCCAAACTAAGCTTCACAAGTGAAGGAAAAAGAAAATCTTTTGTGAACAAGCAAGTACTCAGAGATTTCATTACCATGAGACCTGCTTTACAAGAGCTTCTGAAAGAAGCATTACACATAGAAAGTGACAACCAGTATTAGCCTTTCTAAAAATATACCAAAAAATAAAGAGCATCAATATAATGAATAATTTACATCAACTAATGGGCAAAATAGCCAGTTAACATCAAATGGTAGTAATCCTAAATTTAAATTGACTATATCCCCTAACCAAAAGATACAGCCAAAACCCAACGGTATGCTACATCCAGACCCATCTTACATGCAAGGATATATAAAGACTCAAAGGGATGGAGAAATATTTGCCAACCAAATGGAGAGCAAAAATAAATAAATAAATAAATAAAAAGCAAAGGTTGCAATTCTCGCCTCTGATGGAATGGATTTTAAAGCAGCAAAGATCAAAAAAGGACATAATGGTAAAAGAATCAACGCAACAAGAAGAGCTGACAATCCTGGATGTGTACGCACCCAATACAGGATACATAAGACTTGTAAAGAGACTTGGACTCCCACACAGTAGCAGTAGGAGATTTCAACATCAATATTAGATAGATCAATGAGACAGAAAATTAATAAGGATACCCAGGACTTGAACTCAGATCTGGAACAAATAAACTTAATAAACATTTATAGAACTCTCCACTTTAAACACACAAGATGTGCACTCTTATCAGTACCACATCACACCTACTCACAGGTTTAAATGAAATATTGGTTGGCCATTATTAACCACAATTGATGGTATAAGGGAGGTTTTCAATACCCATTTTTAGACTGTATTCTAGCCTGGGCAACTAAGTAACACTCCCATTCTCTATCCCTCTTCCTCTTCCCCTTTTTTCCTCTTCTTCATTCCTTTTTTTCTTTCTTCCTTTCTTTCTTATAAAAAAATTATAAAAAAAAAGAAAACTCCTTAAATGGCAAGGAATAAAACGATTCCAAATAAAAGGATTTAATTGAGCTCATTTAATCAGTTCATTTGTCAATGGAGTGGTTGATGAGTTAAGATGAGACTGAGGTGGTAACAACTTATAACTTACACTGTGATCAGTCTTCCTCATCCATTCACAGGCTCATTTATTTATTCAATAACAAAATTCTATTTCAGGCACTGCACTGAGCACAGGGTATACAGTGGTAGAAACAAACCTCAGTTCCCATTCATGCAACTAATAATTGAGATGGGAGAGGGACAAGAACAAATAAATACATACTTACAAAATTGCACATCTTCCTTGAAATTAAATGACAGCATAGAATATAGATTTTAATTACTGATTGTCCATTATTGAAAGTTTTAAAGAAGCAATGGTGTGACATGATCTGCATTTAAAAATTGATCACTCTAGCTGGGCGTGGTGGCTCACGCCTGTAATCCCAGCACTTTGGGAGGCCGAGGCGGGTGGATCACGAGGTCAAGAGATCGAGACCATCCTGGTTAACATGGTGAAACCCCGTCTCTACTAAAAATACAAAAAAATAGCTGGGCATGGTGGCACGTGCCTGTAATCCCAGCTACTCGGGGGCTGAGGCAGGAGAATTGCCTG